AATACGTTTGTGATAATCGCGTCGCCCGCAATTGTGAATATTAGAAGACTCAGCGATAATGTGTGTAATTTAAGCTATGTACAAAGCGCGACTTTCCGTCTCTCTTTTCCTTTTCAACTTCCTTTACTTTCCTCTGCGTTCTTTTCGGTGAGACGAATTTTTCGTCGCGAGAGGATCGATGAAACCACTTTCCCCCGTATCTTTTCGCTCCTGAAATCGTCGTCGCCGCGGACTTTCGAAGCTGACGAACCAGCTGATCGATCGATCGATCTCGAACGCAGTCGAGACGTCGCAGCTTACGAAAGCCGAGGTTGCTCGAATAATTGTTTAATTTACAACGAGATTGTAAAGCTAGTCTGGAGAATTTCTCGCGTGAACGCGCTCCTGAAGAGGGAAAATCGAAGTTTAACTGGACGCACTGGGTACGCTTTGTGTGTAATAATTAGGTCATCCAGTTTGCTCGCGCCGGAAGAGAAAAATATTTTGACGAAGATCCGCGGAAATACTGCAGCGACGACGTAATGGTCTTGGAAGAAATGGAAAACAGTTGAGAGGGTGTTTACGTTCCTTTTTCTCGAACTTAAAGGTTCGTTGGAAATATTGTGATCTAAATTATAAAACTCGACAGGAATTTATGGGATGACCTAATAATTGCAATGGAAGGAAAAATATTATAGTTGTTTCGACTGTTGCGATGGGGTTGAACGTATTTTCCCTCTTCGGGAACTGTAGGGCGACCGTAATTGGTGCACGAAATATGCATTGCAAAAATTGTCCTTCAATTGTGATGTAAAAAATACTGTGAAAGCTGTTCAGACTTTGATTAAATATTGCTGAAAATGTTTGGGGAATTTTCTAAAGTAGCTTCGTCGTTCAATATAATGCACAACAACGATTCTGTTGGATTGTTAATTAAAATTCATTATTCACGGTTATATTAAGTATTTAGTAAAAAGCAATTTTATTTTATTATAAAAATCAAATATGAAATTTTACTATAAAGCTAATGCTTTCTTTTCCTTCTTTATTCGCTGCAAATATTGCCAAATTATTTAGTATTCGAATAATTTCATTTCTCGGTAAGTTAGCAGATTCTAAAAGAGTTCATTCAATGTAAAATCATTTTATCGCAAAAATAACATTTTCTATTCATTCCTCAAAATAACTGAAAGTTTCATTCGCCTTGATAGCTCAATCCGTGATTTAAACACTCCCTACAAGAATCGCCAAATTATCTTACAAAAACACTTTACTCAACGAAACACAATCCTCCCGACCAATTTTTGCAATCTAAAGATGCACTTAGACCAAACGAACAAACACCCATTCGACAAATTTCAAATCCAAAGTGCATAAACTTTTTCATTCCCCTGGTCTAAACTCACCTTGCAATTAATCTCGTCTCGTTACAATCCTCACCACTCGACCATTCTCAATCAATTAACGAATCACCGAAAAGTATCCAGAAGAAAGCACCGAATCAATTTCGAATTTCAAATTCCCAATGAAACTTCTCCGATCGATGTCGCAAAAAGCGGAGAACTCCTTCGGAACGCTCTTTTCTCACGTGGATGGTCCCCCCCCTGGCTGACGGAGCCTCGAAGAAAGTGTGGCAGGGACGAAAGAAGAACGGGTAGCGGGGCCTACGGTTGGGTCCGGTCAGAGAAACGCGCGGGCCCGATCGATCATGCCGTTTTCTGATCGAACGGACGAGGTCGCGCGTGTCCACGCGAAATCGGAGAGACACTTCCATAGTCGGACGATGGTTCATCCGCTGGAAATCGATCCTCGGGTTGGCTCTGGTATCATGCGTCAGGCGAAACCCGCCTTTAATTTCACGTATCCAAGGTTGTCCGGTCGCGTCCCACCCGGCTGACATCTCCCTCTTCTTCCGACAATTTCCACTCGCCTCGTTGTACGCCGCGGGAATCGTCTAACCGAGACTTTTCCATTCGGCTACTTCCGTTCTATCACGTCGAATCGGCGGGACCCTCTTGCAACGGCCAACTCTGATCCAGAGCTAGATGGTGGTGGGCTAACAACGCGTCGCTTCGGGCCTGGGCGTGGTTTCACGGTAGCATCAGGTCCTCGGCAGCAACTTTGAAGCGGGTTATTACGCGGCCCAATTTGGGACTGTAGCCTGAGGTCCTCGTGTAACACCGTTGACACGATGCCTTCCTTCCTCTTTCTTCCAGCTTCTGTGTTTGTGTGAGTGTAAGTGTGAGTGTGTGTGTGCATGCGTGTATGCGTGTGTCTCGCTTTTTCTTTCAACGAGCTGATCTTTAAATTGAAATAAGCCGCTTCTGCGGTAACCGTGAAACTTAATCGCACCTTACCAACACCCCTTTTCATACGGAAATTCACCTCCCTTCGCTTTCGCCGAGCGATTTGCAGATCTTCCTGTAGGTTTCGATCTTCGATCGAGCTTGCTCAGCTGATCTCTTGTGTTATCGTTTCACTCGGTTTTCGGTAGAACTTTCAGGCTGTTCAAGTGTTGGCTTCGAAGGGAACGGAAAGTCTCTAATTAACTCTATGTATCAGATTGTTCGGGATGAATTTGCGTTTAGGTAGAGACGGCGACACCACAGACGAGAGTGTATGATCCTCTTCCTCCGACCTTGGCCTCGTTATTCCATTCCCATGGGTGCTCCGGCTGAATCACGTCGGTTCTGGCTTCGATGATTAACTTGTTACAGTTGAGAGAGAGAGAGGAGAAAGCAGGAACTATACGGCTGAGTTGATTTTTCGAGATAACGTGAAACTGGTTGGATACTCTTGATGTTTTCGAATGTGTCGCTGATAACGATGCCAGATCTCCCTGTCTGCCTTCTCAGAATCTTGCGTAACCTCGCGCTCCATTCTTCGCGTTGGAAATTTATTAAACATGTAGAGTTAAGGCATTTTTCGTTTTTCGTTATCTCGAACGTGTGTTTCTATCAAGAAGTTCCCAATTAAGGAATATCTCGCACAAAGCATTCCTGAAAATCGTCTCACGATTCCTGTTTCGTCAAGGTGTTGCAGGCGTTAGTGTTGTTGATACTCTTTACTCAACGATTACTTCCAGAGATTCTCTTCATTCTCTGTCAATCGCAATCCTCAGAAGCCATACACGCGCGGCGATGAATTCTGACATGGCTGCACCTTTTCGCGTGATTTCTTCTTGTTTTGTTTCTGTCTATCGAGGTCTTTTGTCGCGACGAGAAGTCTCGACGACTTGCTGTGGCTGACGTCTAGGTGTCTAGGCGGCTCGGAATGTAGGAAAGTGGCAGAAGCGAGAAAAGAAGAATAATCGAAGAAGCGGAATGGAGGAGCGAGAAGTGAGGTTTCAAATAGGCGAGGAGGCGACCAGTATTCACGAAACTGTTTCCCTTGCGACTCAATAGGCTGATACACTACGTTTTTTTTTTTTGCTTTTTTTTCTTTTTGTTTGTTCTTCGAGATGATTAATTAATCAACCGACTCGGAGTAACCGACAGACGAGCATCGAGAAGGATGGACGCGTGGTCAGGTCAAAAAGTTCTTGGAACTTCAACGTGGACTTTTCTCATTATCGTCGTTAGATCTTCGTTCGAAGTTTGCCGTTTTGTTGAATTTTACGTTATTACTTGTCAGCTTTTGCATTGGGTCCGAACATTAAATATTTTGTGATACTTGGAATAATTAGGAGATTGTTCTTTTTTTTTTTTTTAATAATTGATTGCTAGAGTAACTGACAGTTTTTGTGGGTATAATTTTCTTCACGGTAAAAATCGAATTATTTCTGCGAATCGATTAGATTGGTAGCCTTTTAATTATTTCAAGCAGTGCGGTCGTTATTTCATGCAAAGAATGGCTTTGAATTTACATAAATATCGAATTTGTTCATGTTCTTAAGAGGAATTCTTATAACAGATTGCTATGTTCATGCCGGGCTCGACAGTATTTTATGCAACGAAAAAGTTTGAAATTTCCACGGTTACGAGCATATTTTGGAAATTCTAGCTTTGGCCATTTTTAAGCTGTGCCTTTTCTGCTTTTTCAAAGCTAGTAAATTCTAATTCTAACACATAATTTAACATACATTGCTTCACTTGTGAGAAGCTGAAATATATCGTATGTTAATATTAATTATTTCCGTTAAGTTCCACTTGATTTTTATTTTATCAAAAAATAAAACAAGTATGAATTTGAGAATAATATGAAAGAGAATTTCTGACAGACGTCAATCCAACTTAATTTTCGATTTCTCCAATGACAAAAAAGAACATCAATTTCAAAATAGCACACTTTTGAACGCATCGACAGAAAAATTGAACTTCTGATAGATATCGATCCAACTTAATTTCCACTTTCTCGAAGAATAAAAACTAGCACACTTTTGAATGCTTCGGCATAAAACAGAATTTCCAACAAATGTTCAAAGTGACCGACGAATAAACTGCGCAATTGCTCCCGAATAATTTCAACTGCATACTCACACCTACAAACTCCACAGTGTATATCAATTCGTGCACATGCCATTTCTACCAAATAACGTGCATAAGTGTACACACACACACACGAATTATACCCGACGAAATTCCAAAAACTCGTTGATCGATAACCGCGCGGCCGCGGACAAGCCTAATCAGAAACAGAGAAACGCGCGTCTACGGGGAGTATAGGATATTAAATAGTTGGCCGGATGGCTTCTAGTACCTAGAGTAACCATTCGAATAGCCATTTGAGTAGCCGTTGGAGCCCTTGTAGGGAACAGAGTGTATGCTCCTGGAACAAAGATGGTCGAAATTGGAAGATGAGGAAAGTACAATTGAAGGAGAAACAGCCTGCTTCCTCCCTCACTTTCTTTCTCCTCGTATTTATCAATCAGTTTCCACCGCTTCGCGATCAGCGTGTAGGATAATCGTACGCGTCGGTGTTAGTAGAAGTGGAAAGGCGATAACGTGATCGTAATATTATAGCAGATATAGCAGAAGAAAACGAGAAGAGATGATAATTACGGTAGTAGTAATAGTAGTAATAGTAGTAGTAGTATTGCTTTGTAACATGCTGGGCGAATTTAAGTTCTTCTGTTTTTCTCTTTCTTTTCTTATTTCATGGTGGCAGTACGCGATGCACAGAACGATGATCGTGCGCTGTCGTCGTAATCGTGACAAGGACATTGTGTGAGAGACTTCGAGTGAACATTATTACAGAGAAAACAAAGAAAAAGATAAAAAAATAGAAAAAGTGGTATAATATATATATATGTATATATGTATATAAGTGTGTATATACGTATATATATAAAACTCGGTGTATGTATATATAAATATTTATATATAAATGTAGAATAATAGAAGAACGTGGATTGTAATTTTCTGTTGTTATAGGCTGTTGTTGAGTTGTTTGAATTCTGTTGTTGTTCATATTGTTGTTGTTGTTGTTGCGTGTACATTGTGTGTGTGTGTCAAGGTGCAGGAGGTTCAGAGCTCCCGCTCACCGCCACCCACATCTACAACAGAACAGAAAACAAGACCACCGCCGTTACATACAAGGTATCCATTAGTATCCACCAGTATCGAAGATTTATTTTATCGCTCGCTCGTTCGAACTGGCGCGCGCGCGCGCGCGCATACAGACACAAAGCCTCGCTAGCTCGTACGTTCCGTGCGAAGGCGGCATTATTTCTTTCAGACTGGTTTGTGAATCGAACCCGATTTTCAAAAGTGCCACGAGGAGATAAAAAGAGGAAATGAGGGAAACAAGAATTTTTCGAATCTATGGGAATTCTGTTTATTCTCTTCTTTTGTGTCCTTTGCGCGAATCGAGGCGATTTTCGAAAGTGCCGCGAGAAGAGGAAAAGGGAAATGAGGGAAACGCGAATTTTTTGAATTTCTGGGAATTTCCTTTGTTCCCTTCTTTCGTTCTCTTTGCGCGAATCGAAGCGGTTTCCAAAAGTGTCGCGAAGAGATAAAAAAAGAGGAAACGCGAATTTTCTGAATCTCTGGAAATTCCCTTTATTCCCTCCTTTAAGGGAAGAAGACGAAAAGAGGGAAACGCGAACTTTTCAAATCTCTGAGAATTCTCTTTATTCTCTCCTTTCGTTTTCTTTGCGCGAATCGAAGCAATTTTCAAAAGTGCCACGGAGAGATAGAAACGGGAAATGATGGAAACGCGAACTCTTTGAATCACAGAGAATTCCCTTTATTCTCTCCTTTGAGACGAAAAGACGAAAACACGAATTTTCCGAATCGCAGAGAATTCCCTCCTTTGAGACAAAAAGGGGGAAACACGAACTTTCGAATATCACGGGGAATTCCCTTCATTCCCTCCTTTCATTTTCTCCGCGCGAATCGAGCCGATTTTCAAAAGTGCCACGAAGAGAGAAAAAAAGGAAATGATGGAAACGCGAACTTTTCAAATCTCAACGAATTCCTCTCATTTCCTCTTTTGAGATAAAAAGACAAAAAGAGCGAGTTACGAACTTTCCGAATCTCTGGGAATTCCCTTCCTTCATTTTCTCCGCGAATCGAACCGATTTTTAAAAGTTCCGCGAAAAGGCAAAAAGACGAAGTGAGGGAAACACGAACTTTCAAATCTCGGGGAATTTCCCTTATTCCCTCCTTTCATTTTCTCCGCGCGAATATCACGGTGAAGGTGACACGTTGTAACTTCACAAGGCCTGCACAGTACGAAAAGGTCAAACGCAGAAATGACCCCGTTTTGTCGATCGTCGACGATCTTGAACTTCTTTTTCACGATCATACGAAAATTTTCTGCATTCAATTATGAAAATACTACTTTTGTACCTACACTTTGTATTTCTCATCCCATAAGTTCGTGTCGAATTTTATAATTTATATCAATATTTCCAACAAACCATTGTGTTTGATTAAAAAAAAAACAGAAACGTCTTCTCAGTCCACAACTCTTTCCAATTCTTTTCGTAAGACCATTATGTCGTCGCTGTAGAATTTCCTCGGAATTTCGTTAAAATATTCTTCCCTTTCGGCACGAACTTACGGGATGACCTAGTATTGTATAATCTTTTGAAATATTTTAGAATTGAGTTTTTCTGATCTTTGCTATTAGCGTTGGAGATTTGAGGTGTATCGAGTTCAAGAATTACACGAATTATTGAGTAATTTACGAAGTTGTAAATTTGGTAAACGTTCAATGATTCATACGTTTGATAAGTGAGTTTTGTGTATAATCGTGTGAAGTCAAGCGACGGATATATTGATGATTCCATTGAACGTGCGGTATTTCTGTAAAAGTAGTAACTTATTCAGTCATTGAGAATATTCAAATTACTTCACTGATTTTTATATCTTCTACTTAATTATTCAAATTGTTTAGCGAAATTATCGTTCAAAATATCGTCTTCAATATGTATTTCTGTATATATGTAATTATTTGCACAAAACTGTACAAATGAAAATGTCTTTTACATTATTAACAATTAATGATTTTCATTTCATGCACTCTATAATAGTAATAATTCTAAACTGCACAAAATCACAATCAAAATTGAAAAATTTTTAAACAATCAAAATTGTACAAAATTTCCATTAAAATTTCCATTAAAATGAAAAATGTCACTACTGCCTCCTCTACTTAACGTCCAAACCGATTTCGTCAAAATATCATTAAAAGTCTCCATTCTTTTGCATATTAATTCGCTATACAATTTTTATTTCTGACTTATGCTCCTCTGAGACCATCATTCGACAAAAACTGAATATTGAAGTTCCGAAAAATTTCTGCATCCCATACCACGTCTAATAACGCGGAAACTATACCGATATTTAAATTAACTGTCGAATAAATTCGTCGACGAGAATGAAATATTTAACACGCAGAAACTGTGCGAATCGGCGAACAAAAAAATTACAGCTTCTTCGAAATAATAAAAAAAATTTGCAATTGCGACGATAGTTATTCGGCGGTATAATGAAATTCCGATTGTTGGAGGTGAATTTTACGTTTCGTTAAATAGATTCATGTTCGATTGTGAATTGTCGACGACCGACGGATCGCGAAGTTATGTCTGCCTGACGCTAACGTATGCTTCTTCGTTCTGTCATTTCACTATTTACAATTCTAAAACTGCAAAATTTATAACTGATTTACAACGGAAGCATTTTGCAATCGAACGGAAAATTTGTCAAACTATTTTTTCGCAGACCAAAAAATCCGTAGAATCCTCAAATTTGCAACGTTAATTCGACAAATTATCGATCATGCGTATCACTATTGCGACACTCCTGCAAATTTCGATTGTTTCACAGTGCCTTCGAACTTTCTATCGCGATTCTCGTCGTCTAAGTCAATTTTACAGCTCACTATCCTCAAATTTTTGTAGAAAAAACAACAATTTCAAGGATCCACGGATTTACCAATCGAAATAACACCACCTATCAGCGGTAATTTAAAAAGCAAGCTTCCTTCTCGCATGGAAAGTGCGACGAAATCGAATATCGCTCGAAAAATTCTAGTAGAATAAACTTACTTCGCTCTTTGGCATAATTTCGCGAATTCACGTTTTCGCTAGGTTTTCCAGCCGCGACGAACGTGTCTGTGCTCCAGCTATCGCGAATCGTCGAGAACTTTTCACCGAATTCCTCACTTGAATTTCCAACGGGGGAGAAAAATTGGTTCCGTCGCGATCGAGAAAGAAGAATTGACAAATCGCCGAAGGCAAATCATTCTACAGGATGAGTCACTAAATGAAGTACTGTCTTCGCTGGATTATCCTTTTTCGTCCTGCAAAAGGTCGTATCGGTGACCCGACCGGTTTTCGAAGTGGTCCCTGTGTTCTTGTTTGCTCGGGTCAATACACAATATGCGCGACTAGTTCGTTTCAAATCGATAATTCGGAACGAATGCACTTTTCGTATCGTATTTTACGGACGAAACGAGGAGACTGCAGATTCGGAAGGCACGAACCACGGGCCGAAAATTCGGAAACGACCCGTTCCGGAATATCTTAACGCCGAATTTATTCGATGTTCTTTCACGGAAACGGAGTTTATACGTCGTTCGCGAAAAAAATCCACCTATCAAGCACTGCCCCGTTTTTATCGCCGAAACGTATTGTAACTTACGTTCCTTGCGATAAAAAAATGAAGAAGAAAGAGGAAAATATCGATTCGTACGGAACTCAGAATTTCGCGAAATCTACCGAGATTTGGACACGAGAGACGTTTCACTGTCGAGAATTCTAGCACCGAACTTTTACCGACAATTTCACTGTTTCGAAAGAATCTTGACGAAAACTTGAAATTCCACGGATTCTACTATTCCGGCACATTTTCACGAAAGAAGCGATACACTACGTTGCCTCCGACTTTGGTCAAATCTCAGAAGATTCGTTCTGCTTTTCGAGAAAACCGAAATTTCCCCGCTCGTGTCGTCCCGAACACGAAAATTCCACCGAATTTTCGACCATTTCTTACTTTACGGGACGTCAGCTCTGCCACTATCGGAACTCGACATTTTCGCACAGCACGTCGAGGAACAGTCGCGACGGAACACGAACCGAGCACAGACACGTCTTCAAAGCTGCTGTCAATCTTCGAACGAGCGTGTAACGAGCGACCTTTTTCAGGGACCAGCACCGAAATCAATTTCCGCGATCTCGCCGCGGACACACCAGCGAGGCAATTCTTCAAACACCGGGATCACCATTTCAACTTCACTCCGGATCTCTTTCCCGTCACAACTTTCCCCCCCGTCGTACATACACGCGTGCACAAAGTACGACCTTTTTCGCGGCTCGCACTAATTGATTCGTATAACCATCACTCAGGGCTACGCGACTCTCTCTCTCGCGCGCGCGCGCGCGCGAACTCAAAGTGGCGGCGGTGCACGATCGGCTGGATCTCTTTGCGGAGGAAAAAAAAAAAAACAGGGTGAAAAACCGGAAAAAATTCGGCAGAAACAAAGGCGCAACGAGAAGCAGCTAACACTATTAACCCGGCACAGTATAGGAAAAAGGCGAGATCCTTCGGACCGTAATTGATGTCCGAGTGAGAAAATCAACCTCGGAACCAGTCCCCGTCGCCGAGCGGCAAATTAGAAGTGGCTCGACGAAAAAAATGTCCGTACACGTATGTACCTCTCTCTATGTACATCCACGTATATACGTACGTACACGTACATGCATATACGCGTGTGCACGCGTGTGTATACACGTATACATGTACGCGTTCCTTTTTTTTCCCCGTTCTCTATAGACTCGAAAGAATAATTCCGGACAAAATGTACCTGTGTTGCTTGAGGTTGTCCTGCCGCTTGAAGGACTTTCCGCAGACCTCACAGGTGAAGGTCACGTCGTCCTTATGGCTGCGCTCGTGGATCATGAGGTTGTAGGGCTTCGTGAAGCGCCGCTGGCAGTACTTGCAGACGAACTCTACCGTGCACTTGGCGCGCATCTTCTGCCGGCGGCCGAACTCCCTGCCGTGCCCCTCTGTCTCCATCGGCATTATCGCGAACATCCTTATAAATTCCCACCGCTCCTTCTCTTGGTCGACTCTCTGTCTCCTTTCCCTCTACCTCCTCTCTCCCGGTCCTGCTAACGCCTCGAGTCACTCCCTCCACCGGTTCAGCCTATAGGCGTCTCTGTCTCTCTTGTCCACGCCGGCCCGTTTTCTCTCTTTCACGAGCTTCCTCCTTGGTCCCTCTCTCGATGCTCTCTCGTGTCGCTCTTCTCCTCCCGCGCAAACCTAGTCCCGACCGGCTAACTCCTGCGAGTGAGATCACTCGGCCTGTACCTCCTTGCGGGAACTCGCTCTCGTGCCTCTCTCTACCTGCGGGAAATAAAGGAGCAATGATTTTCGGCTCGATTCCCCGGTGAACCGATCGCGCTCGATCGTCTAATACGACGATGGTTACGTTTGTTAGATTGGAATTAGGTGGGGGACAGTTCGTTCAGATTAGACGAACGGGAGTACGTTAATTTTGCCGGACTTTGACCGTTCCGCGGACATTTTTGCGACGATTACAGGTGAAAAGTTGCTAATTTTTTAAGACTTTGTGGAATCGAAGTTTTATTTTTCAACAGATCTTTGCAGTATTTTCTACTAATTCTGGCGAAGTTGTGCCATTTTTCCGGCAGTGCGCGGACGCCGTCGCGATGCGATCGATTAAAAGAATTCAGTTTTACACCTAAAGTTACTTATTCGCTTAAAATCGTGGAAACGTTACGAGCGCTACAGATATTCCCCCAATTTCCATTCACGTCCCAGTTTCCACCAGAAAACCACGAAAAAGAAATCGTCCGAAATCCGGAATTCAAATGTAAAAATGTCAAGATCCCTCGAGGATCGATCCTCGGCAGTGGAGAAACCGGGGGGAGTTCGATCGGGATTAAGAACGGCGAAACGATTGCAACACCGGGGGAAGCTTATTGCTCGGGCAGTCGTCGAAAAGAGGGGTCCCGCGGAGTGGAGAGGCAGCAATAAAAAAGGCCCCCGGGGTCTGATCGCGCGGTCCGCCGCGGCCATTGTGCAGGAGCCACGTCCGGTGCTACTGGTAGCGCAAGGTAAGCACACGGCGCACGCTCGAATAAAGTGGCGTGTCCGAATGAGTAATAAGCGTGGCTGGGCGTATCCCGGTTGGTTAGGCTGCCTAACGGCGGTGGGGCCTAATCGGAGCTGCGTGTTACGCACGAGTCTGCTCTACCCGCTTTTTGCTTTCCTCCTCTCCGCCGGCCGAAGCGCCACCGAGCGATACGTGGGGATCTTCTCAATGGTCCAATCTTACTGTGATTGGCCAGTCGCGCGGCAGATTGAACGTGACCATTTTTAAGGTGGATTCTGTCATTCCTCCTTCGACGAATCGTCGAGCGAGATCGCTCTCGGAACCGACTTTTTTCGGGTCTTTGGAATTTCTGCGATTATTTACAGTGGTAATTTGGGAAATTAGTTTTTCGATCATTTTCATTTTTGGGGGGGATTTGCAAATTTTTTAGAGCTACTGTTGCGATAGGAAATATTCTTAACCCTTTCTTTGTAAGATTGATGGAGTATTTGCGCCAAAATACAGTTTATCTGCAAACTCGTGATTTAAGTTAACACACTTTGGTTGAGATCTTTTTCTAATCGTTTTTCGCAAGGTTTGAGTGTAGCTACTGTACTATTGTATGGTTTATTTAACAACGCGTTCTGAAAGTTCGATCTCCGAAAATTTCTCGCGAGCTCACCGCGAAAGGTTAATCGTGCTCGTCTGAATTAACTGAGAAGACAATTACCAGATGTAAAAGCGAACCTCGTGCCAAGTTCGTCTACACGCCTGTCGTGATCAAGAGGTCAAAGCTAATGTATGATAATGTATGATAATGCGATGTATGTGGAAGCACGCAGTTATGGTCGCGTGGTACATCGAATGAGTATACCCACGCAAATCATACAGCCGTATAAAGTTGAATTTCATCGTATCGAAGGAAGATCTGAGATTACCTTGGAGGATAATGGAGGGAAAAGGTTGAAAATGTCGTCGATTCGTAATCTGTTCGATAACAAGCGATCCTTTTTTCTTTTTTTTTTCACCATCTTCTACTAAATTGGAAATATCAAAGTGTCGTTTGAAACGCGTTTGAATACACCTGGATACAATTCGCTGGCTGATTCTCTTTACGCACGGTCACGCGACTGACATCATAAAATACGATTTCGATTCATTGCAAGGAATAATGGAGTTGTTTAGCGGGCTGTGAGGAGAATACAATTATACAGCATTAAAACGGGCAACCGGGATTTCTTAATCCTCTTAGACACGCGTGCTGCAATTCGATCAGGCTGTCGCGTTCTAAGAACAACGATGCTAACGCGTGTTTCACTCGTGAACACGGGCACGTCCGACGAAAGTAAAGGCCCGTGTACTTGTCATCCGCCGAAACTTATTGTTTCGGATCAGTCGTGGAAACGGGGCTCGTGATTCGCATAGATACCTACGCGGTCACCTTTCGGGAAAAATGCCACTTCCTAGGTAGACACGAATTTTGATGTGATCGAAAGTACTTGGAAATCGTCGAACAATGCTAACTGTTACAGACAAAGAAATTTTTGGAAATCGTTCATTTTGAAATCGATCGAATTTCAAACGCATCAACATTCGCGCTCCCCTAATTCAATTCTGTCGAAAATTCTTCGGAAGCAAACTTGGGTATTTTGTGTAAAATAAAAAATCTGTAGCTGATTCTAGCCGTCAAAGGGAAGACGAATTTTACCTACTTCCTTCTAGAAATTTTGCACTCGATTAAATTTTAGAGACAGCACCTTTTTCAATTCCATCGAAAATTCTTCCAAAGCAAACTTAGGCAATTCGTACTAACTTCTGACGCTCCTAGGAACCAATGCACATCCTTTCGGCAGAGAAACAAGAACAGAATCGATAATTTCCTGCTGGCGTAGAAGTGTGAATGTTAATTAGACAAATTCTCGCTCGTTTCTTTATCCAATTACCGAACAGTCCGGTTAGAGCACCGTCGACGGCGAAAGAGCGGAATGAAAGGGCGGTTGTCGGCCGGAGCGGCCGGTTTCGCCCAACAGGCTCGTTCCTCCGCGAAGGGAGGTGATTGCCGCGACAGCCGGCGAAGACAAGAGGCTCCCGCGTTTACACTCGGTCCCTCGCGAGCAAAAGGACGGAGGGCACAGATGAAGGGGCAGCCAATCAAAGGAGAACGGAGTGTGGAGCCAACCAAGAAGCTCGGCTCGACGTGCGTGCACCCGTTCTCGTATGTATGGAGGAATAAAGAAGGGAGCAGTAGCCTTCGTTCGTTCGCCGGTAGCCAACCAAAGAGGAGCTGCTATCGTGCACCGCCCTACCGCTGACTACCGGTTTTCGGCCAGTCGCTACTGAACCTTCACAGAAATCCACCAAGCAGAACCACACCCTCCGCCTCGGGATCGACGTTGCGCCCTGGTACTGGAGTGTATGCTGATTGAACGTGGAAGGGTCTGGGAAGGGCGACTTCCTATTACGATTCCGTCCTGCCACCCAATCAAACGGGAGGCATGGTGGCGGGCCGAGTCGGTCGGTTCTTTAAAATGTTGGATAAAGGGGTCGGCGAGGACCTGTGACAGCGAATTTATGGTTGTCTCGTGAAGGGGTTGGTTGGATGCCTGAAAGCTTTCAAGGGACGTTCAGACGATCGGTGTGTTGTCAATGTTTCAGGACACTCGGACGATCAGTGTAAACTGTCGCTATTTTGCGCTATTATAATGTTGATGAAGTATTGACAATATATGTTGATCGTCAGAACACCCCTTTGGTAATTTAATTGCGAGGTGGAATATTCGTTTTGAAATTTTTGAAATTTTTTTACTCAATTTTGCGGTAAAAGTTCTTTGGCACCGTAGAAACGTTCGATATTATTTTAAAGAGTTCGAAATCATTTTGCTTAATATTGCGATATTCGGTGAAGCGATCAATTTTAATGTTATCGATAGTGTAAGAAATAGTAGTGTTTTTTTGTGTGAGTTAAGTTATGCAGGCTAAGAAATGGTTAATATGAAATAACAAAATAAAGTTCGTCCCGATGATCGTGCTGTTAGGAGATCTCACGCGAGCCATGCTTCCCGAGGGCAAAAAAGAAGTATCTAAAGAGGCAGTACAGGTTTCGGAGCGTTCGACGAATAAAAGATTCGGTACAGCGTAGGCTGGTAGCCAATCAAAGTGAACCAGCTACCGTGTACCGCCCTGTGGCACGCTACCGGTTTTGGGCCAGTCACCACGGAGACTCGAGAGACATCAACGAATGTGGACCACACCTTATCCCGCCCGCTCATTTCGGAGCACGACTATAAGTGTCACGCGACAACCTCCAAGACAACATTCGTCCCACCGCGATAAATAATGAAAATGAAATATATTTCAAATAAATTCCAACAATTCGTATCCAAATTAGAAATCAAAATATAGATTAAAAATTGAAATTTCACCGTTTGCGCTAAATTCTAACTAATTTCTCATATGAAAAGGTTGCCCCAAAAAATAGAAAATAACGGAAATTCAATGGTGTCAATTTGTCGATCTCCAGCGTGACGTAGGAAAGCAAAGAGTCGGCCGTAGTAAGTGAGCGTTATCCGAGAAAAAGTGATGAAAGTCGCACTTACCGGTCGAAGGAGTGTGTATGCTCACGTCCGTAGTTCCCTCTCGCGTGGTCGGACTTCTGGTGGAATAAACGTGTCCGTGGAATAGTTCGAACACGGCGGGCGAAATCGTGCGTTGCTATCGCGTGCGACAGCGACAGAGAAAGGGAGAGAATCCGTGATACTGGTTGAAGAAGTCGATTCTCTATTCGATTCTCTATTGAACGTGTGTCGGGATGCTGTCTTCCGGGCTGACAGGTCTGGACCGTTTGGGTGCGCGGCGTCGACTGAAGCTCCGTTTGCCCGCTCGGTTCGCTGGTAGCTCGAATAGGTAGGCACACCAGAAGACGGTAGGACGCCGTGTGTAACCGCCAAAGGTCTCCTTCGTCGTCGCCGTCTCGCTT